GATTTTTTTCTTGAGAGGTTTATGTAAAGTATAAGTCCGTTGACCCGCTAACCAGGTTTTGACTTTCTTTAATGGCACTCCAGTAGCCTTGGCCAGTTTCTGAGCGCCACTAAATCCCGCAGGATGTGCCGGATCATAATAGACTTGTGCTAGCTTCTTCATCTTTGACCTGTTAATGTTTGTGAGCTTCTTTTATAGGCTGTCAAAAGATAGCCATTTTCTTTCTTTCCTCTGTTGCTTTTTACTTGTACGTTTCTTGGGAGTTTCAAAAGCGGGCGGAGATGGTTGTGTTTGAGGTGTCGAAAACAATTCCCATCTACGATCGTTTCCAATGGCTTCTCGAGGTATATTTGATTCTCTCAAACTTCTCATGACAGCTTCCCAACCAAAAGGGGTATTATTTGTCTTGCGGTTACGAATGAAATCATTGACGATATCCACCACGTTCGTGCCTTTCATTACCTGACCGCCATGGGTCAATTCGTACTTATCATTCCATGAGTAGGGTGTTTTCTTTTCCAAATGCTCTAATAACATACGAGCTCGGCCTTGGTATGTTTTAGGTACCGAAGTTAAAATATCCGGTTTTTCCACGGAAGCGATGTCGTCAGGTTTGTTGTTTGTTGTCTCGGGTATGGTTCGTGCATGTCTTTTATTTTGTAGTATTCGATATCGCTGCAACATTTGATCATATTGGTCCATTTTAATATCGTCTGAAGTATTGGACTTGAGTAAACGTTGCATTTCTTGACTTAATTCTTCTAAAGCTTCTTTCACTGGATTTTGATCGTACACGGGTTCGTAAGGTTTAACCGTCACAATCTTCTCTGGTTCATCTGCTGGGACCAATCTCATTTTTCGTGTATACTTCATCGCTGTTTTAATTTGTTAAGCAAAGGATGAAAGACGGGTTTCCACAATCCTTTACCGTGTTGTTGAAGTAATCTCTTACGGGTTTTCCAAGGTGTTTTGGGAGTGCCCAGACGTCTAAGTAAGGTTGACTTTGATCGTAAACGTCTTGTTTCTGCAGCTGATAGTGGTAAGGTGCCCCGAATCAAATTACCAATACATTCACATAAACAATCCACGATTTTTTATCGTTCAAAATATGATTCCGCCAACTGTGAGGGGTTTTTAAGAAATCGTTCAAGGTCTGTTGAGGCTTCATGACTGAGACCAGAGTCCAAGGTCTCTCCTTTATATACCCTATCACTGCCGAATGGCACCGATGATAGGTCCAATGACACTAGAGGCCAAAGAAGCCAACAACGCACCCAGAAAGCCACCTTTTTGGTTTAACAATTTTCTTTTGGACCGACCAGAGGTTCGAGGGTTGGCTAAAGTTTGCAGGGCTTTTTTGTGTGGTGTTAATAGACGACGTTGTTGTGTCGTTAATCGAGTCTTGCCGTTTAAAATAGCTTTACATTGGTTAGAAACACACTTGATGCTACGACGTGGTGCCATGCTGTCAAATGATAATAAATGTTTGCAGCGCCATTTTTATACTTTTCTCTTCTTAGCTCTTTTTTCTTTCTTCTTTTTCTCTTGTTCTAATCTTTCTTTCCATCGAACCAAAATACGTATCAACACTCCACCGAAAAAACCTTGACCTCCAGGTTTCATGACCAAAGCTAATTTTTCTTTAGTGCCTATATTTTGAGTCAATTGTTTTAAAACATCTTTATTTCTAGCAACCCATTTGGTGTGTTGAGCGTGTA